ATATCTAGTGGAAGGAGGCAAAGTTCAGCAGCAGTCTCAGCAGCAAGATTTCTTCATGCTCTTACAGCACCTTCATGTGCCTCAAGATAGTCACAAGGGCCATGACAGATTGTAGGGCATTTGGGGAAACTTCAGGCCACCAAAGTTATGCTGGAGGTCACTTGGGCAAGGATTGCAGGAGAAATACAGGAACATTTGTCCATTTCCAATTCAAATCAGGTACAGTCTCTGGAGCAGAGACTGTCTTTCTGGTGTTTTACAATAAGGTCAGTGTTCTCGCCGTTACAGCTGGAGCTCTTTGATGAGTACCAGCCTGCAAGTGATCAGGAGAAAGATAATACAAATATTGGAAATACAGCGTATATGTGATGTTTAATCAGGTGTGATGACAGAAGGCAGAAGGAATTTCATACACTTACTTAGTAGATGCAAGCCTGCACCCTGGTAAAAGAAATGTTTGGTTGGAGATAATTTTGCTTGAAACCCCCCCAAGTAGATGAATTAGTTGATTGGTGTTCTGCTGGTTATTTCTATGAAGAGCCGTGCTGCAGCAATCGGAGTGAACACAAGCAGGGGTGGGAGAATCTGGGCAATCTGGGATGGTTCTGCTCAAACCACCCGACAATAATAAAAAGCTGGGAGGGAGGGATCAGAAGAATCAATAAATTACTTTTCCTCTTTTCTGTCTGGCCTCCTCTGCTTGTGGCTGCTCCCTTCTCAGCTACTCTCTATGTAACAGTAATTGGAGCCAGGGGATTGTTTGGTTCGAGGCTGAAAACAGGTTTTAGCAGCTATAAATACCGATTAGTAGTTGACCCGTCAAAAACCTAAGGGGCATGTTAGATTCTTTTGTTTTTGTAAAAGAAATGTTTTCTGAAAAGAAATCCTTTATATATATATATGTGTGTGTGTGTGTGCATGTTGAGTTTTTCATACAGTGGTCTGTTTTGGTGAGTGCAACTGGTTTTGATGAATGAAGCGTTTGAAGCTTCACTTGTCAGATATTTGCCCCATTTGAGCCTGGAAACTATATTCATATTCCAAGATAAACTTGCCCTGAGAAAAGTGGCTAAACACACGGCACTGGGCCGCAGACACTGTGTCCAAGGTGCTCTACTGTATACACAGCTCCTCCGGGGGAAGATGAAAAAAGAAACGACACGTAAGGGATATATGAAGTCACATTGCTTAATGAGTATTGGAAGGCACTCAAAGACAGCAGTAATTACTGTGGTAGAAGCACCAATGCGTATGAGACAGGGTCAACAATTACACTCTTAGTACGGACAAAGGGTGCCACAGACATGAGGAAGATGTTTGTGTAATCCTAGTTACGAAAGCTGGGTGATGTGTTGGGGCACACACAGACTTTGGACTGTGGTCCCCAAGCCGTTGAGTTGGAACCGCACGTACGCGTTCGGCCCGTGAAGCAGGCAGATGAAATCAGTGACTCCAGTCGCTGCTCATGGTAGCTCAGCACATTCCCTGCTGACCTGGCTGAAAGAGAGCTTTTATGAAACGCAACTGATTAAAGAAACAAGTGATGTAAAATGAAATGTCATCATGGATACAGGGCTTAGGGCTGTATAAACAACTGGGGACTGAAATCATTAGACTCTCTCTGCTCTGGAATGGTTCAATATTTTGAAAGGATTAAAATGCCTTTCCTACCCTTTGGTCTCCTGTACTTATTTGTATGTCAACATAAGTATTTGTCAGTGTTTTTCATGCTTTCCTAAGTTCAGGAAATCTGTAAATTCATCATATAAAGGCACTGAGTCTTAATTCCTGGGCCTGCTAGTCCTGGATCAAAGGTTTTGATATATTATTCCTAACTTCTTTTATTTGGAAAAATGTAGCCAATACCTCTAGCAGACAGCATGGACCTGATCCAGAATCCACTGAAGTTATTTAAAATACTCTGATCAAGTTCCATGAGTTTTGGTTCAGGTCCTGTGGCTTCAATCCAGCACAGTGCTTGAGCTCATATGTAATTGCTCAGGAGCTTAACTTTGCATACAAGTATCAGTACTCTACCAGACTGACATGTCCATATCAGCTGGTACGAGTAGACTGGCTCTGTGTAACTGCTCAGATGGCATCCACTGGATAATCTCAGTTGCAAAGCTGAAAAGGATTTTCCACGTGTCAGGTTAGTAAGTAGCCCTCTGGCTAATAAATCCCAGCAAGTCTTTCCTACAATAAGCCATGTAGCATAGTCACAACAACATAAAGTATGCTAGTGAGGAATGCTTCGCTTTGAGGGCTAGGACACTAGAAAAAAGCCATGAAAATAAACAGAAGGTTACATAGTAAGACCAAAAAAAAAAGTGTTTGCTGTTAAAAGTAATACAACTTTAGGAAGCGAGCACAATTCTTACTGACTTTGTGGACAGTGGCGAGGTGATGTTCTGTCAAACAGCAGTCTTGGCTGAGTTTCTTGCCTCTTGCTCTCCCCGTTATGTTTTGATCCTGACTGGAAATGAACTGTATTTAAAGACAAAAGGCCTTTTTGGTACTTCCAATAAAAATGACAATAGCTGCTTCATTCACTATAATGATCCATTGCTATCTTGCGTAGGATGTGGAGAAAGGAGATTGCGAGCTCATGCTGAGCATAGCTATCATCAAATAGTAATCAGAGAGAATTTCAGGCTAGTGGGTGAATGGCTCACAGTCGCTACTAACTCTAGTACTCCACTGTATTTTTCTATAGGAGACTGCCGTCAGACCTCAGGAGCAGCAGTTGTCCATAGTTACTCAGGAAGTTGCTCTTTGCAGTGTCACGCCTGGATTGGGCACTAGGGATGAACTCAGGACTGCTGGCCTGTGATTTGTTAGCCGCTGAGGGAGGGGGTTTTCAAAACACACATTCCTGGGAACATTAGACATCTGTTTCTCTTTAAATCTACCTGAAGGTGCCATTTCTGTTTCCCGACCAGATGAGTGTGACACAGAGAGCCCGGTGAGACAGCAACCAAAGCTGATGCTCTGGCTGACGTTGGCAGGTGCCCACCTCCAGGATGCAGTTACAGCATCGGTGCATCTTAACACAGAGAGGTGTCACTGGCTAGTCTGCTAGATGAGTTATTCTGTTCTGCAGAGGACTGTAAAGCCTTTTGAGAGCTTCAGGTTGGGGTGTTCTAGAAATACGAGTTAATACCAATTGGAAGCATATGATATATTGTATTCCTGTGTTTTTCCTAGTTCTCAGTGTAGTTTCACAAGGGACCGACTTCAGTCTTCAGGAAACTTCATTGCTTTTAATGAGGTTACTCAAGAGGTGCATTTGATCTTCTGCTGACAATTTTTAGCCTTGAGAAAACCCTTTATGCTCTGAGACAGAGGGCTTAAAAAAGTAATAGCAACATTTAATAACATAATTACTCCACATTATTTTGCATTCTCTGACTTCTCTTAAATGAAACACATTGCATGCCGAAGTGATCTTGTAGGGAGGATTATTCAAACAAGATAAAGTCCCTGCTGAATGTAATGTCAGTTCTTTTTATGCATGCTGAGTAACCTGCTGTGCTTTGGCAGCTTTAAGACTGAGCCGTATCGTGCTCATATTGGAAGCATGCAAATGTCTGAGCTAGCAGTTTGAAATGTGGCCGAACAGTTATTACTTCAGGAATGTTAATTATTACTTTTATGTGGATAAACTCGCTGGAGCTGCATCCATTTAAAAGTCAACCACAGACACTGCGCACGAGTTTGATTCAGGCTCAGTGTTATAATTTTTCTTTGTTTATATATTGGTAATGGTACCATGCTGGTGTCAACAGACGAAGACCTTCTGAAGTGAATGTAGAAATAAATATTATTGTTAAAGAAGGGATGAATCATTTGCAGTCAAGCAAAACTGAAGATCCGTTGAGCTGCAGAAAACCCTGGCTTGAGGCCCTGAATGAAACAGAAATCACATCAAAATGTGAAATCGAAGCGAATTAACATTGATGCAAGTCTGCAAGGGCTATATTCTTAAGGAAAGGAAAGGAAAGCCAACAGAGAGGCAGAGGGCAAAGCCTAAGCTGCACAAGAACATGTGCCAATCCAGTGGGTTTCCTCGAAGACAGTGCAGTTTCAGGTCCCTGAGGCTTTATGCTGGGAGGTGGTTTGTGCTTGCAGCTCATGTGGAGCTTTCCGTAACAGAAAGGCTTGTGCTAATGCATCAGTGCCCCATGTTCTGAAACATGGGTTTTACCTGTATGGCTCAGTAGGGGTTTGAGGTGAGAAAAAAAGAGGTCATTTTAAACAGTTTGCATTCAAACCTGGTGTCTCACTTTTGTGCATTGTGTATGGTGTCTGAATATGTGCATGCAGTGTGGGGTGTTACTGCTTGTGGTTTAAAAACAGCTCTTTCACCAACTCTGGTCAAGTCTTGGAAGGCATTAGCAATGACCTTACTGTAAGCAAGCAAGCTGTATAGGAAAAGGGAAAAAAAAATAAAGGAGCTAAGGAGAATGAAGAAAACCAGCTTGGCATACATTGGTAGGAGTTCATAGAAGGGTTTCTTATACCTATTTTATCAGTTTGGGATTCCCATACAGGACACTGAAGCCAGAGAGAAAGCAGCACAGATGAGTGCTGGCACAGTTGCAGTAAAAAAGACTGCTCTGAACTCATGCAAAAAGGCTGATTCCAGAAGGAGCTGAGAACAGCACAGACACAAAGCGGATTTTATATCTATGGGGCCTAAGTAAAGGTGACAGTAATATTCCAAAACAATTTCCAGTTAACTGATTAACCTCTAAAACTACTGGTAATCTGTAACAGGAAGTCCAAGCTTTTTGTTTCAGCAGCAAGCCCTTCCGTGTGAGGAGGTGAGCTCTGGTGCCTGACCCACTGCAGAGATGCCCCAGGTGAAATGATAACTCTGTGATGCTGCTGGAGGCACAAGGTTACTGGCTGCATGCAGCAACACTACACACCTGTGCTCGATTCCATCCCTAATTCGATTAGCACCTTCTGTACTAGCCCCCAGTGAAGAGAAGCCTCTCTCCTCAGGAAAGCCCCGATGCCTGTTTGAGGTTCTGGGAAAATTGGGAACATGTGGCAGTGTTATCCAGAATAAATCTGGTCTGATGGCTCCAGCTCTGCCTTTTCCTCCGTGTGGATCAGATTTAGAGCACCTAAGGCAGCTATATTGCACCTCTGAGTATTTTTGCAGATGCTCATTGAGAGACCGTGGCCCTGTTGGAACACAGAAGGCTGCGAGCACAGGTTAGTCAGTAAAATACGTGTACAGTAAGACCTTGCATAACGTGGTAAAAACAGGCCTTAAGCATGAATTTGTGGTAGCCACGTACTGAAGAATGAGAGAATGATAAACTCAATCTGTATTTGTTTTCCAAGTAATAAGCAAACATTAAGCTTTTGCTGTTTTGCCATAGAATTAGAGTCAAATACTACGCTTTTAAGTTCTGTCCTTGAAACAAGAACCAAGCCCTGATGATGGGCTCTCTCAGCTCCTGGTGCTCAAAGATGCTGAAATACTTTGCTGAATCCTTTGTGGCTTGGCTTCTCCTTGTTTGCACTGTGGTACTTTCCTGTATTTCTTTGTCATCCTCAGAATGTCAGGTCCAGTTTTGGCTTATTGAACTTGGGATCCAGCCCAACTCTTGAATGCATTTCTCTTAAGGATGTCTGAGTCTCAGAGTTTAACTGGAGCCATACCCACATGGAAGCAGGCAAATCTAAGATGGCCCTTTGCTCTTATTATTGCATCCCATCTGCCAAATGCATTTAGGTTACTCACAATGCACACACAAATGAACTGTTCCTGTTGCTATCCAGAAACTTCTGCTTTTTTCTATTAAATAGACAAAATTGGCTTATATGAAAACAATTTCTGGAGGAGGAGGAGAAGAAAGGGAAGAGTTTTATCTCATATCTTACAGCAACCTGCTCAGACTGTTACAGGGCAAATGGCTTTTGCAAAACATGCCTTTCTTTTGCCTTTTTCATTACTATGATGTACTGTAAGTTCCATGAGAAGGAGGAGAGCGTTGTTTCTGCAGGGTTAAAAAGAGCAGTGGGGGGTTCTCAGACAGACGTATGCACATTCTCAGGTCAGGAATGCTCTTTCGGAGAGCAGCAAGCTGTGAACGTGCAGCTGCAGGCTTCAGGGTCCTGAATAATCTATGTTTAGAGGCTGCAAAGTCATCAATATTTATGGGCTGGCAGGACCATCCCTGGCATGCAGCTCCATCTGCCAGCTCTCCCTTTACTCCACATCCTTCTCCCTGCAAGTTTCAGGTTCTTATTTCCTGTGATGAGTAGGTTTGCCCTTTGAAGCACAGCTCCTCCAGGGAAAGGGAGAAGGTGCTTCCTGAATCACACTGAGCAAGCATGTGAGCCATCCACATCGAGGCATCCCCGTTGCAGCAGATGGTGTGTGAGAAATGGGAGCTACCGCTTCGTCATTTCCCAGACCCAGTGTGCTTGCTCTGACTGATCTTCTCAGAGCTGCTTTAAAGCAAAAGGCTCCCACATCCTGCTTCAGCAGGAGCTGACATTTAGTCTTTCGGGCAGTGATGCCAATACAGATGTACCTGCATTAAAGGTAGGATCTATGGCACAGACAGCATTTGACTAGATCCCACAGAGCAGCACTTCAAGATAGTTGCATCCGACGGGCCAGTGCAGCCCATCTCACTAACATAACAATGAAGTGCATTAAGTACAAGAGACAATAGAATAATTCTTAATTTTCCAAAGAGAGACAAATGAAAAAATCATTTTTGTGTAGCTTCATCTCCACAGCTTCATCAGAGAACCCTTGTTTAAGAGCTTTATCTGTTCATCTCGGGAGGTTTAAATAGCAGGTTGATAATAATGTCAAACTTGAGTGTAGTTTTACCTTACATTTAAGGTCATCAGGAATGGCAATGCATTAGTGATCCTTGTGAAGTATAACAATACAGCATTATGTCGCCCAAAACTGTAGCACTGCTTGCCTAAATCTGCATTTCAGGGCTGTATAAAGGTAATTGGAATCGCAGGCTATCCAAGCAGCACTGAATCAGTACTGGAAAGCTCATGCTGCACCAGTCATCTTAGTCTGGAAACATTCACATCACCTGATTGCGCTTCTTCCACGTTTTCCCATGAGCATTCAGATGACACAATTCTACGAGCACAGATGCTCTATACAAGGAATCCTAATCTTGTATATTAATCATTCACACAAGTGCATTTCCTATTAGTTTCTGCAGCTATTAATGTGCAATGTCCTTTGGCCTAAGATTGCCTGATCGGAAGTAAAAGTCATTTGTCCAGACACAAATCACTACCTCCATATGCCGTGCTTCTGATTTTTCTCTGCGTAAGAAATGTCACTGTGTTTGATGAACAAAAAGGCATTTCCTCAACAGAAATCATTTGGTGGCTGAGAAGTGACGTAAGCGTTCAAACAGAAGCCTGTTCAAGCTCTCATTGCACTCTCCTCATGTTATTGGTGTTGTCTGCTGTGCTGATGACACCTGGGCCGTTTCTGCTGGAGGGCAGTGGTGCAATGCAGTACACTTGCTGGGAATGGATGCACACTGCTCCTGTGGTTTGCAGTGTTAAGTAGCTCTTTGGCTCTTCCCAGCAGCCTCGGTTGTCTTTATATTTTCTTCTGTTTAAAGAACTGTTTCTAAAGCAGCGCCCTGCACTGGGAGCACATGTAGAATCGCATTCACTCAAGTCTTCACTTCTCCATCCCTGGCTATTGTTATCTGTCTACCCTAAATATAAACCTGTAACCTCTGCTCTTTCGTTGTCTTCCCCCAGATTCACTGTTAAGCCCTCTTGAAATGTGGAGGGTGGATACCCACTGCCCTGGCCAGCTCTCCTGTGACAGCAAAGGGAGGGAGGGTGCCAGCACCCCAGCTCTTCTGCCTCTACCCCACCAAGACATACCCTAAAGACAGAGCATATTCACCAGCATCTCGTCAGGTCTGGTATGATGCAGGAGGAAAGGACTTGGAAGTACAGCTTGGTGTGTATGGGATGCCACCAGCAAGCAGCATGGTAACTAGGGCTCCTTCTGGTGAATGTGGATGCTATGGGGTCACATCCTTTCTGGCAGGAAAAGGAATGGGATTTTCCACAGCCTGGGAATGTGCCCTTGCCTTATCTGAGGCATCAGTGAATCTGACTCCAGTTCCCTCTGGCTTTGAATTAACAAAAATACTGTTAAAAGAAAGAAAAAAAATTCCAAAGTATGACTAAATCACTGGGCGCTGTTGAAATAGGGGTAAACTGGAACAGGGCTAAATGGCTGCACAGGGGAGGAATTCTTACTTGAACTGAATCACGCTTTATTAGCTGGATGCTTGTGGTACCCACAGTGCGGTTTGATGTCAAACTTCTTTTCCTCTTCTGCAGTCCTCCCAGTGTGCCAAGTTCCAGCATTTGCTGTTCTACATTTTCTTTCCCTCTCTAAGTCATGACTTAGAAGAGACATAAGCATTCAGACAGAGATCTGTTTAAACTCTCATTGCAATATCCTCATGTCATTCGTGATGCCTGCTGTGCTGATACGTGCCTCGAAGGTAGGAGAACGCACAGTACAGCAGTACCTGAGCACGACTGAAGAACTCGAGGCAGCTGCAATATAAAGATCTCCCTTTGCTTCCTTGGTTTCATGGGGTTTAAAAAGACCTTGCAGGAATGCAGTATTCTGTGGTTAAAATTCATCTGCTTTCTTAAGGTAGCATTAAAAAGGCATTGACCCATATTTTACGTGCTAGATGGTGGAGGGCAAGGTAATATTTTACTGGCTACATCAATGGGGCAAGAGTTGGCATTCCTGCGATCCTTATTCCATGTACTAAAGTTGTGTGGTGAAATTTAGAAGGAAAGCAATGCTTTCCTGGCAATATTCACTAGATCTATCATCTAAGTGTGTGGGAATGCAATTGCATTTCCTACCTATAAAGAAGAGATTTACTGAAGGGTAAGCTATAAGAGAAATGACATCTCCAATTCCTTTCTGGGGTTGGTAGGAGCTTCAGCAAAAGAAGCTGAAGATGTGTATAGTGAATCAGAGCCCATTCTAGCTGCTGGCTAATTTTACACAATTTGTGGGCTGTCCAGCCATTTTTAGGGCTCAGATAATAGCAAGAGACACAGCAAAGTGCTTTCAGGTAGACTTGGGTAAATGTTAAACAGCTTTGTTTGTTACCACCTCTCTGAATAGAATCATAGAATCCCGGAATGGTTTGGGTTGGAAAGGAGCTAAGATCATCCAGTTCTAACACCTTCCACTAGAGCAGCTTGCTCCAAGCCCCTGTGTCCAACCTGGCCTTGAGCACTGCCAGGGATGGGGCAGCCACAGCTTCTCTGGGCACCCTGTGCCAGCGCCTCAGCACCCTCACAGGGAAGAGCTTCTGCCTTAGATCTAACCTGAACTTGCCCTGTTTCAGTCTGAACCCATCACCCCTTGTCCTATGGCTGCAGTCCCTGATGCAGAGTCCCTCTCCAGCATCCTTGTAGCCCCCTTCAGACACTGGAAGCTGCTCTGGGGTCTCCATGCAGCTTTTCTTCCTCAGGCTGAACAGCCCCAACTTTACCCATGAGAAGAAATTTTGTTTGGTATCCTTCCTTCTTATCCTGTCTGGTGGTTTCTCTATTAAATTCTAAATGCATTGCAGAGTTTCTGGTTGGAAACCCCAAGTCATCAGCTTCCTGAGCTTTCTTCAGCCCTTGGTTTTCATCAGTCTTTCCTGCTTCTCTTCTGTTTCATCCCCTTTTTACTCAATTCATGCAGCGCACACTGATTTTCATCAGCCCGCTCTGTACTTGAAGGCTTTTCATCAGTTTTGCTGCTTGGTTTTGTTCCAGTAACCTTGTCTCTTTGTTTTTGTGGTGTCAACTGTCATGCTTTGATCTGCAGCTTTTCTTCGTTAGTGAAGTGTGTGCTTTAGAAAGGTTATAACTGGAAGGGGAAAGATACATGGAGACCCGTATATCACGAAGCGCCCTTCAAGTAAAATCTGACATGTGAGAAAGAAAGGAGGAGGAATTATTCCTAGTGTTGTTTTCTTTTCCATGCTCATCTCATTCCAGATATGACATCAGAATTAGACTGTTTTTCCATGGATATATGCTTAACTGAGGCACAGATTTACTGCATGATTTTGGATTTAAATCAATTTACAGGCAGTAAGACAGCATCTATTTTTGTCCAAGGATTTTCAGCTGCCTTTTGCTGTAGGATCTCTTGACCTTTTTGT